AAGCGTATTTTGCAGTATTAAACACATATTTATACCGATTTCATCAGGCTCCGAAAATTCTTCAAAAAGAACGCAAAGAATGGCCTTCTCAGCTGCCATAGTTGCAACTCTTGCGTCATCAGAACAGGGTGTTCAACGCATCACCGTTTCCGTTTAAAAAACGTTTTGCACCGTTTTTGTCGGGGCTGAACGCAGCCCTGGTCTGTGACATGCGTGCATGGAAGTGGCGTTGATTCCGGAAGTGATCCGGAAATGGAGGATGAATTGTGTGGCGCGGAAAGTGGAGGTAATGGAGATGAATGGAATGTAGTGGTAAATAGGAAAAGAAAGAAAATTAGTGGAAATATATCTGAAACAGACAGTGAGAATGGAAGTCATATGTCAAGGAAAAGAAAAGAAGAGTGTAAGGTATTGATGAAGTTTGCTGCTGGATCTTTGAATGCAATTAACCCGTTGAAACTGTCTAAAGCACTGAAGGAAAAGATCGGAATGATGGAAAGTGTTAAGACTTTAAGAGAAGGTAGACTTTTGTTGTTTTGTAATGATAACAGACAACAAAAAGTGTCTCTAGGAATAAAATCGGTTCTAGGACAAAAAGTTTTTTGTTCAATTCCAGAAGACAAAAGACGGGTTAAAGGAGTAATATCAGGAGTATCTCCTGATGTTCAAGTTGAAACGATTAAGAAAAATTTAACTGGAGCGACAGTGTTCGACGTGAAACGATTGAAGTGTACTAGAAACAATGAAAAAATTGACAGTCTCTCAGTCATGATTCACTTTGATGAAAATAAGCTACCTAGCAGAGTCTTCTTAGGATTTGTAAGTTATATGGTCAGGCCATATATTCCGCCTCCTCTGAGATGTTATAAGTGCCAAAGGTACGGGCATGTGGCGGCAGTTTGCAGGGGTAAACAGAGATGCGCAAGATGTGGGGGTGAACATGAATATGGTCAATGTGGGCAAGAAATTAGTCCCAAATGCTGTAATTGCGGAGGAGAGCACAGTGCGGGATACGGAGGATGTAAGGTGAGGAAGCAGGCGGCGCAAGTTCAGACGGTCAGAGTCGAGGAAGGGATATCGTATTCTGAAGCGCTAAAGAAAGTTGGAAAGAAGAATGAAGAAGGGAGTAGTAGGGTATCATTACCTGAACAAAAAATGAAAAGCAAACAGGATGAAAAGAAAGAGATATCAAAGATCACAGACAAAGTGTCATTTGTGTCGTTTATGGCAGAAGTTGTCAACTGTTCTGCTCAAACTGATAGCCGGACAGAAAGAATCAAGATAATAATCAAAGCAGCTGAAAAGTATTTGGAGATAAAGGGTATTTCTGTAGACATGATAAATGAAAATCTAAAAGTATATGTAACAAGCTCGCAATCAGGATGTGGTGGCTCTTAATGGTATTTATAATTTTACAGTGGAATGCTAGAAGTCTTATTGCAAATGGTCAAGAATTTAAAGAATATATATCCAAGAAAGAAAGCAGCCCAGATATAATATGTATACAAGAAACTTGGCTTAAGCCACAGTTGAATTTTACATTACAAGGATATACAATAATTCGGAAAGATAGGAAACAAGGGAATGGAGGTGGGGTAGCTACTTTCATTAAACAAGGAATTGGGTTTAGAAATATTGTAAGAGATGTGGAGCAAGAGGTAGTAGTGGTGGAAGTATGGGAAGGGATACAAAGTTATAAAGTAATTAATTTCTACAATCCATGCGAGAAGTTGAGTTTAAATGTGTTGGAAAATATTGGTGGGAATATAGGGAATAAAGTGATTTGGTGTGGTGATTTTAACGCCCATAGCACGTTGTGGGGGAGTAACAAAAATGATTTGAATGGGACGATTGTTGAGGATATGCTTGATTGGGGAAGGTTAGTATGCATTAACGATGGAAGTAATACAAGAATAGATGTTAATCGTGGGCGTGATTCAGCATTAGATTTAACGTTAGTGTCTGATAATTTAGCTGGAAAGTGTGAATGGAATGTAATGAAGCAAAGTACTATAGGAAGTGATCATTTTCCTATTGTTATTAAAATTGGGGTGGACATAACAAAAGTGGAAGTGGTGAGAAATCCAAGATGGAAGTTTAAGACTGCTGAATGGGGGATTTTTAAAGAATTGTGTCAAAATAAAATGGCTGAAATTAACTATTCGGATATGGATGTAGATGAGTTAAGTAATAAAATAAGTGATGTACTTAGAAATACAGCAGAGGAGGTAATTGGCAAAAACAAATCTAAAAACAGAAGAAAAGCGGTCCCATGGTGGAATGATTAGTGAATTAGTTTGTAACAGAAATAAAGCCCTTAGGAAAGCAAGAAAATCGCTAGTGTTCACTGATTTTATTAATTATAAAAGAGCTCAGGCAATGGTGAGGAGAGAAATTAGAAGAGCAAAGAAAAATTATTGGAGAGAGTTTTGTAATAAAATTGGGGTAGAAATTGAAATTAATGAACTGTGGGGTATGATCAGGAAAATGGGAGGAATTCAGAGGAATACTAGCATTCCGGTGTTAGTTGACAACAACAATATTGCAGTAACTGATAGTGATGAAGCTGAAATATTAGTGGAGACATTTGTTAAGGTTCATAGCGATGCGAATATATCAGAGGATATGACGAAGTGCGGGGAACAATGGATAATGGATAATGCTCAGATATTTGTAAAAAAGAATCCAGATGGAGGCACACTAGATTCAGATTGTATGAGATGAACGTGGAAGCACGGGGTTGTGGTGCCGATCGCCAAACCAGGAAAAGATCAATCTCAGACAATCAATTATAGACCAATATCTCTGACTTCCAATATTTGCAAACTTATGGAACGAATGGTTATGAATAGATTGTCATATGTTATTGAGAGCAAGAACCTGTTTCCTGCATATCAGAGTGGATTTCGGAAAGGGAGGAATACCATGGATTCAGTTTTATGTTTGGAAAATGAAATTAGGAAGGCTCAAGTTAAAAAGGAATTAGTAGTAGGTGTGTTTTTCGATGTTGAAAAGGCATATGATATGTTGTGGAAGGAGGGTTTTTATTGAACATTGGATAGTATGGGAATTAAAGGTAAAATGTATAACTGGATATTGAACTTTTTGTTTGGAAGAACAATACAAGTGAGAGTGGGTTCTGCATACTCTCGGGTTCTTCCAATAGAGAATGGAACTCCTCAAGGTAGTGTAAGTAGTCCTATTATTTTTAACTTAATGATAAATGACATTTTTTCTAATATTGACGTTGGTGTGAGCAGGTCATTGTATGCAGATGATGGAGCGTTATGGTTTAGGGGGCGAAATGTTTTGTATGTGGAAAAGAAAATGCAAAAAGCTGTAAAGGAGGTTGAGGATTGGGCAAGGAAATGGGGTTTCAGATTTTCTGTGGCAAAAACGCAGGTAATATGTTTTTCAAATAAGAAAATTAATCCTTCTCTGAATATAAAAATGTATGGGCAACAGCTAGAACAAGTTAATGTAGTCAGATTTCTAGGAATGTGGATGGACTCAAAATTGAACTTCAGAATACATATTCAGAAGCTGATAGAAAAATGTAAGAAAGGGATAAACATATTAAGATGCTTGTCTGGAGTTGAATGGGGGACTAGGCGTCAATCAATGGAAAGAATATATAAAGCTGTAATAAGAGCCAACATTGATTATGGTTGTATGGTGTATACTTCTGCAAATAAAACTTGGATTAAAAAGACTGAGAAGATACAAACGCAGGCAATGCGAATTTGTTGCGGAGCATTCAGGTCATCTCCTGTGGTATCATTACAGGTTGAAATGGGAGAACTGCCTCTAGAGTTACGCAGACTTCAGCTGATGATGACATACTGGACTAGCATTAAGGGTCACTCGGAAAGTCACCCAGTCAAGAATATTTTAAGAGAATGTTGGGAGTATGAATGTAAAGAATTTGTAAGTTTTGGCTGGATTGTTGGGAAGGAAGCACAGAGAATGGGTCTTGATGAGATTGATATTGCACCATCAGTGGCGA